GTTTGGGTAGTTGGATGAGGGGGGGGAGGGGGGGGAGGCCAAAAATAAAGAGAGAGGAAGAAAGAGAGAAAATCCATATGGAATCAAATTTCAATTACGAAGGTCTTGGAGGAGACTAAGTGCATCCCATATGGTGTAGTGGCTAACATCAGCGTCTCTCACACGCTAGCCGGGGGTTCGATTCCCCCTATGGGAGAGTTGGTAACTTTTTTAATTTTAAACCTTTTTTTTTTTTTTTTTTTTTTTCTTTCCCTTTATTCATTCCGCTTTCGACGTAGCTCACAAAGGATATTTATTATCATTGTGAATCATGCATCATACATACACTCTGTACATATACATATACATCTTGAGGAATAGGATAGGTAGCTGGCTGGCTACCTTAAGGATCGATTGATCCTTTCAGCGTAGTGGTGAAAGAAAGCCTTCCTCCCACAAGAGTTGCATGTTTTAATAACGATACCCTTATAACTAACTTGCCTATCTACACCCGTCTTTAGTCGGATATATACAATAGTAATATTGGGGGGTTAGCTCGCTGGCTACGCAGCTTACTGCGTACTGAACATTGTACAGTACATTGTGTATATACACACATATATATAACTACATATATTTTAAACGGAGACTTATCTCAGGGTGAAAATACCGGTGTGTAAAAGAAGCTTTCCCAATGCGGTGGCGGCGGCGGCGGTTTGCTGTTGGGGGGGGGATGGGGGGTGGAGGGGATGAGTTTTTTCCCTCTACACATGGCACCGAGGGCCACACCGCTGGCACCGGAAACACCTCGGGAATTCTCGTTCGGCGGTCGGGGTGGGAAAAGAAAGCTTGTAGTGGGGCCAAGCAAGCAGCGCCTTGGGGAAAGAAGATGCTAGATGGGCATTATTATTGTGTGATTATTGCTGTGGGCAGTTAGTTTATTCGGAATACAGAAGGAAGTACGGAGTAGATACTAAGCGAATGTGAAAAGGGGGGATATATTTATATATGTATGTATATAGAAATACTAGTATCTACATATACAGACCAGTGGAAAAAAGAAGAAGAAAAAAGAAATAGAGGAGCAATAAAAAATTCAAATGATTACCAGGCTACTACTACTGCACACCCCTAACAGGGACACAGTAACTGGCATTGGGGACCGCTATGTTTCAACTTAAATAATATAAAGAAAACCCGAAAAAGAAGAGGTTAAGAAGGCTGAAGGAAACTAAGCGGGAAGCTGGAGTTGGATATAGGGCAGGAATTCCAGGAAAAACAAAGGAATAAAAAAGGGCCAAGTAAATCTGACGAACTTTTTGGCTCAACGCGGAGCTGAGCTGAGCTGAGGAAGAAGCTGGGAAAGCTGGGGTAGGTAGGGTTGATGGCGATGCAAGGACCTCGGGTTGGGGCGGTAATTGAGGGATTATATTTTTCATTTCCCATTAAATTTCCCATTAAATTTCCCATTAAATTTCCCGCGGGACTAGCGCTGGAAGGGGGGAAGGGCAAGGAAGAACCTGACCTGGGCTTGGCATCTCGCGTCATCAGACGAGAAATGAAGGAGATGTCAGGCGGGAAAGCAACGGGGGGGAAAGTGGGCGGAGAGGGGTAGTAGCTGTGCACAGATGTAGAGACGCATAGTTAGGGGAAGGGGAAGATGAAGGGGGAAGATGATGATGACACAGCCCTCCGCGGGTTTTGCTTCTTATCAGTGCTCGCTTTGCTGGCGCTGGAGATGGTGGATAGACACAGCCAAGCCCAACCGAGGGAAAGAGCTGAGGTACGAAAGAGATGTACTATGTACTGTATCTATCTGAAATGCCTGTGGCTTGTGCCTGTGCCTGTGCCTGTGCCTGGTAGTTAAACTAAGTACCAATCCAAGAATACATCCGATTGAAAAACCATTATTTAAGTAGAGGGTAGAGAAGTGGCTTGGACCAAAAATCACA